TAATACCTCATAAACTGGATAGGAAACAGCCTTGATGTACACTTGGTCCATTTCTACATGTGAAATATTCCTGTAGGTTTCTTTTCATTGCACTTTTTAGGCCACCCATTCAAAAAATAATTGAGGACTGAGCACTAGATCTGTGCAAGTTTCTTCATTAATTTCTCTAGCAGACTCTGGGGATGTGTCATTTGTGTTTGTAAACTAATTCACAGGTGACAGTGGCTAGAACTGAGGCAACCTTTGTGGGAAATCTCAAAAGAACATTGGTCTTTGTATAATTTCCTGATTTATAGTATGTCTATCATAATGATGGCTAAATTTGATCATTTGGTCCTTTTTGCTTCATGAACACTGCCTGCTCTTCGAGCACTTGATCAATGCTGGGCAAACTGTTGCTGATCCCTACTATAAATAACTTGGTTCATTTTAACTCTATTTTTCTAAGCCAAACCCTTCCTATCTGAAGACTTTGCTCCCTCCTTTTGAGACCAATGGCAAGTAGTAGGATGCATCATCATATTCCACTCTAATTCTAACTTGCCTTAATACTAGAATACTGTTATTAGACTATCTAGTCAGTTTCATACCAATTTTGCCAAAGGAAATGTGATTTAGAGGTTTATCACTCCCACTCTGAGATAATAGATATAGTTGTAGCTTTATCAATGATGAAAGTAAGTAGTGCATTTCTGATATTTTTACTGTGGGTGCTGCAGTTGTAGCTTCAGCCCCATTATTCTCATCTTCCATGTGCTGTTTCTCTTGGTCTTTGAGTACAACCTTTGATGATCCAGCTTGATACCCTTTCTGTCAGTTTCCATATTTATCATGTGCATATTTCCCGACTCCTGAATTAGCTTTGGATCTGTCATGCCATTGTATGACTGTAGCCGACATCATAATCTGGCATGTCATCTGATTTATGAACAATTTTTCTACAGTCTTAACACTTAGTCTGCAAATGGAGCATTGAATGATTGGTGGCTACCTTGGGAATGGTATCATCTAATTTTTTGGCTGTGAGACCGTGAACCTAGCTGCTGTAGCCTTGACCTTGCTGAATTGCAGTGCACTTCCCTCCCCATCTCAGAAAAGTAGCTCCCTTGCAATATGTAGCTGTTCTTTTCTGTTATTTGCTTGTATGTGGCCTCGTTGTTGGTCTCCTTCTACATCAACTTATAGGTGTTCCTCAGAAACGTGGCCTGGGATCCATTCATGTTTTGGCCTCCTGCAAATGTGTCTTGACGGTCGAATTCTATGTTTGCATTACATCCTTGTATTTATCACACAACAACTGCAGTGGATCAGTAAGGGAGCTCACCCACGATCTTCTCAAGGATAACTTGGGAGAGCCAGTGAATGATGCCCATAAGTGAATTAAGACAAAAAATCCACAGTGATGTGTGAGTTTCTTTAACTTGAGAAAGTAATCTGTAGCACTCTTACATGGCAACTGCTTCCTTTGATGGAATATAAATCTCGGTGTAATCACATTCTTAGTCATGACATGAGTTTAGAATCTCGTTAAACTCAGCATAGTCCATTGCACTGGGATTTCTTGGATAAGGCTGGTTAGACACTACCTCAAATGTATCTGGCCCATTTTAATGGGAGTAACGTTTAATTTATTGTCATTTTTTTTCCCATTTAGCCAAATGTATAACCTTGTTCATAATTAGACAGCTTTTTTGTTCGAGCTGAATTCACTGATCATCCTTGAATATGCCATTAATGCTATTTCTCCAATTACGTACCATGCTGATTTACTGTGCACCTGAACAAGCTTTCAACTCATTCAAATTTCCTTCTAATAAATGTTAGCACTTCCAAAAAAGTTTTAGTGTTCTTTAATCCTGACTTTCACAAATGGAATGTAAACGAAAATTCCATCCCAGCCTCCTCATCAGCTTTCTGTTGTGTATTGCACTGAGTAAGACGAACAGAATTGTAGGTATCCACTATAAAACAAACTCGGCTGACATCTCCCCAACAGGGGGGGCAATTCACCAGAATTGCAAGACACTACAGCTCAGACAGCAGGCAGCATGGTATAATTGTTTTGGCGTTGGGATGTTTGTCTGTTATTGAATTAATATTTAGTACTGGATGATATTGCGGCCTCAGGCCTTGCAATGCCCAGAAGCAAAGGTAACTGATAATTATGCCATTCATATTTAGTATTTGCACGAGTATGTCAGTAGTCATGCAATATTTTGGAAAACAGGTTTTGAGGAAGAAAGAAGGAACATAATCTAATTATGAATTGTCTGCAGGAACAGAGAGATGTAGGGCTCAAGTAGAGAAACTGAGAAGAGGTGGAATGATGAGAACAAACAGGATGATCTGTGATAGCATGGAGGACAGGTCAGATTAAATGAGAAAATAAGTGCCTTCTTTATTGCTTTGGATGACAGCTATGAGTAGTGATTCTACCTTTCCATTTAATTCTAGTCCAGATATGTCTTTTGCTTGTCACAATATTGTCTCCTATTGCCCTTCAAAATCATTCCATTCATCTCTGCTGCATTTCATCCTTCCATAGACCTTGTCCTTTGTTCTTTCCTCTCCTCCTTCACTTTCTTTGTCTTGGTCAAAAGGTGTTACATCTCTCAGCGTTCATTGCTTTGATGTACCGTGTCTGACCTGAGGAGTCAACCCTGTTACTCTCTCTACATATGCTGCTGAGTTTACACAACATTTTCCATTTCTTTGTTTAAAATTTCCAGCATCCAGAATACTTTACTCTTATAACAAGGATGACGGGCTTCATTTTTGTCCAGAAGTAGGATAAACTATCAGGTTAAGGGAAGAGTTAATTAAGATGCTCCAAATTCCAAGCACATTTGATAGAGCTGATCAAGTGAAGCTGCTTTCATTGACAGGAGGGTTAGTAATCAGAACAAACAGATTTAAGAAAGAACTAATTGAGTGATTATCACTACTTTTGTTATGATCAGGAATGTATGAATTGAGAAGGTGATGAAAACAGATGTGCTAATAATCAAAAGGGAATTGAATAAGTACTTGAAAGAGAAAAATTGTAGCCAGGGTTATGGGAGAGAGCTGGCAGGCTCAGAGCATACACAGGCATGATGGGGCTGAATGACCATCTCTGAGTTGTATAACTTCGTTACATTTTGCAGATTGGTTGTTTTTATATTGATGTCATTCGGTATTTTCATAGTATTTGTCTAATTCCTGTATGACAGTGAGGTATGTTACTAAATGTAGAGGACCTGACCACAAACAGCACATGTATATACAAAATGCTCCAATATTGTGAATGCATTGCAATCAAAAGTAGTAACCTTGCAAAAAATATTTTGCATTTTACTAGTTGTGGATGATGGTACGGCAAGGTGGCTTAATGGTTAGCACTGCCGCCGCAGCGCCAGGGACCCAGGTTCGATTCCAGCCTTGGGTGACTGTCTGTGTGGAGTTTGCACATTCTCCATGCATCTGGGTGGGTTTCCTCCGGGTGCTTTGGTTTCCTCCCACAATCCAAAGACGTGCAGGTTAGGTGGATTGGCCATGCTAAATTGCCCGTAGTGTTCAGGGATGTACAGGCTAGGTGGATTAGCCATGGGAAATGCACCGAGTAAAAGGATAGGGTAAGAGGGGGTGTCTAGGTGGGCTGCTCTTTGGAGGGTTAGTGTGGACCCAATGGGCTGAATGGACTGTTCCACACTGTAGGGATTCTGTGATTCTATAACACTTCAATTATTAATTAATTGAAATCAACTAACTGTATAAAATAGGAATTCATATAATAACCTTTGAAGCTATGTATGTATTCGCTCAATGCCTCACTGCACATTTGTTCACTAGGCATTTATAAAATCCTTTAAAAAGAAAGTACAGCTGAGATTCATAATTTTGTTATTATGGTTCGTCTCCTCCCAGACTGCCTTCTCAGCCCCTTGCCAGATGATTTTTCTCAGCAATTTCTGCTGAGGATTGTAGCTTCTACTGCGAGCTGATTTGCTGTCATATATCACATTTGTATCTTACATTATTGTCATATAATGACTGTAGCTCATCTGCAACCACTGTCTGACATCCATCATCTAACTACACTTAGGTCAACCTGTCTTTCTGCTGCCTTCCACTTTTAGAATAGATTGCTGTAGCTTTTCACTTCTGACCAAATGACTGAAATACTGATATTTTCTTTTCTGGATATCACTTTTGAGTTTTCTTTTTGCTGTTGCAGTTTCAAGTACCTCTTCATTTGTCATTTAGTCTGTGTTTGGAAATTTTATAACACACCTAAGCATCCACACGTCAGAGGCCTTTGTTTACTTTTACAGATCTTTATTTATCATCTGCTTTCTGAGGCATCCAGGAAAATGGAAAGAATGTAGCATCTTATGAGTTTTATCCTTGTTGCAAGCTTGAACTTTCTTGTTGTCAGCACATCATGCAACTTCACAAAATTACCCCTCTATCCTTAGTTTAACTTATGCATCACATTGGCAATCTTTTCTTATCATTTGCCCTAAATGGGTAGACTTATCTATTTACTCCAGTATGATACCATCCTCTTGAATCTTCACTCTAACGTCTGATGTATTTCTTTGAACTCGGATTTTTTTTTGTATTTTCGGTGTCTGTATTCAAAATATTTTGATTTTATTGCTGTACAATACTTTAGGGCCTTATAGGGAATCACCCAAATGGATGACATTTAATGAGATCAATCGCAAATATGATGTGAACTTCAAACTTGAGACAATTAATGTTAGGTGTAAAGAAACATTTCTTTATGGCTTAAACATATATTGGTCATCAGAATGTCTATGAAAATCATAGAACTTTCCTGTGTGCTCAGATGTTGACTGTAACAAAGTGAAAAAGTTGAGATCTTGGTGAGGAGAAATCTTTTATCAATATCAGAATTTGATTGATATTTTCAATGTATTTGTTATCATTCTTAACATGGAGTTAAAGCAATAAAGATTCGTACTTAATTTACAAAATTAGTATTTTCTTCTCAGACTGAAGCAAATGAAAATGACAATTCAGACTTGAGTGATTCAAGTGCTACTACAGAGAATATAAAGTCTGATTTGGAAATATCGAACTTTGTCTATTCCTCAAACCTGCCAGTACCACATGTAAGTGCTTCTTTGTTAGGATTATAAATGTGATCTTCAATTCCTTCTATAATACGTTGGCCGGCATTAATTTTATTTATGTGTGAACATTTGTTAGCAAGTAACTTCTTCTTGGGCAGACTAATGATGTCTGACAGTTGCCAATCTATCAGATGGCTACTTGTTGACTTCATTAACTGGTGTTTTCTCCATGCCAGTGCACCTTTATCAAGCAGAATCCACAGCTAACCAATCAGCACTCTCCCCTCATAAAATATAAATTTTGTTTTTCCTTGTAAATTATCCTGATCAATGCAAGACAAAAAATCTTCCAGCAAAATGTGTCTTTTCTCAGCAATGCTAAAAAGGAGAAATGGCACATACTGTGTTTCTAAATTTTAAATTGATATTTTGAATCTTGTGCATATTGCTTGTCAGGAAATCTTTGGTGTTTACAAAATGTCATTTCAGGCAGATAATGCAAATTCATTAGAAAGTGAATTAGTAGTAGAGGTGCAAATTTGGTGACAGACATTAATTTTCCAAAAATGCCTAGATTCTAGAAAACAACTGCAAAAGTAACACTTGTATTCAAAAATGACAGAAGCCAGAAAGCAGGAAACCATTGGCCAAATTAGCCTAAAATCTGTCATGGATTCCAGTATTTTGCCAATCATTAAGGAAGTAGTGGCAGGCTATTTGGAATTTTATAATAAAAGCAACCAGAGTCAACACGGTATTATGAAAGGAAAATCATGTTTGACAAATTTATTTGGTTCTTTGAGAATGTGCGAAATAGGAGCGATAAATCTTTGAAAACGTTTGAATGTTTCAAAAAGGTATTTAATAAGGTGCCACATAAAAGGCACAAGATTAGAGCTCATAGTGTTTGGTGTTGGGGTGATACATTAGCATGGATAGAGGATTAGCTAATGAACAGGAAACTTTGGGCTCAGTTTTCCCAGGCCCTGAATATTGAGGACAATAATGAGTCAGTTGGGAAAATATGGAGAGAGCGAAAAATGAGATTTAAGTGTTTTAGAGCTAAATTCAAATTTGGCTAGTGACAGTGAAGGAGCTATTTGCATGTATTAACGTATCGTTATTATCTCATCTGACCTCATTTATATTCAGTGGGAGAGAAATTAGAGGGCAATCTGACCTGAAACTCTAAGCGGACACTGGCAACTGCAGGTCACCAGGCCTCCAAATTGGCCTGCATTCTTCTTCACCTCCAGGCTTTGTCCATTGGCAGCAACTGCCTGAGCCTTCAATTCATGGAGCTTACAGTCTGGAAATCACCACGTCGTCAGGGCACATTTCGGACTCACTTATAACACAGTGCAGCAGTTCAAGACAGCACTTTGGAGCTCAACAATATCTTTCATTGTAATGCTGCTGTCAGACTACATTACAGATAGGGATAGGCATCCGCCTCAGGCAACAGAACAGGGTGCATGTCACGGCACTTGTTTTCCTTGCATTCACTCATTCTACACTTACTTGAACACTCACTGCATCTTTGCCTTGCCTTGCAATGCAGGCAGATAAACAAGCAGCTCGTCATGTTTGGTAGTAATGAACAGTAAAGAGGGCCTTTGATCAGTTGGGGAGGCTGGTCTGTCATCAGTCAGGAAAGATGGTGAGGCATTCTAAGTGAGTGAGTAGGAGGCACAGAGAGCAGATTAGTACTTTGGAGGGGCATTGGGGTCATCGAACCACAGTGAGAAAATGCTGTGTCACCATGGAGACATGGTGGTGCATCCTTCATGATGTGAACAGTGTAAAATTATTTGAGAAAACTTGCCGGGGATCACAGAATGAAGCCTTCTATGAAACATCATGAAATTTACACTGTGCTGATTTTTGGTAAATTTCAGCCCAGGTGGTTTGGATGGATTTTTTTCATATTGGGAAACTAACGAGTTGAATGCCATGGAGATCAAAGCTCGGGCATCACTATTTACATTATATTAATGACTTTAGGAAGGGACAGGGTGTATTGTAGCCAAATATTTGATGATACAAAGATACCTGGGTAACCAAGCTAGGAAGAGAATGGAAAAACTCTAAAGGATAGTGATAGATTAAATGAGAGGGCAAAAAATTTAGCAGATGGAGTATAATGTGGGAATATGTGAGAATGTTACTTCAGTGACAAGAATAGAAAAGCTGAGTATTATGTAAATGAAAAAAATGTACAATTTTGCTGTGCAATGGGATTTGGTTGTCTTTGTACATTAAATGCAAAATGTTAATATACAATTACGTAAAGTCATTCAGAAAATAATGGAAAGTGTCATCAATAGTGCTGTCAAGCAGTACCTGCTCAGTGACACCTCATAGAATCTCTACAGTATGGAAACAGGCTATTCGACCCAACAAATCCACACAGACTGTCTGAAGAGCATCCCACCTAGACTCACTCCCGTACACTATCCCTGCAGTTTCCATGGCTAATCCACCTAACCTACCCATTTTTGGACTGTGGGAGGAAACTGGAGCACCCAGAGGAAGCTCTCGCAGACACGGGGAGGATGTACAAACTCCACACATACAGCCACCTGAGGCTAGAATTGAACCCGGGTCCCTAATGCTGTGAGGCAGCAGTGCTAACCATTGAGCCACCATGCCACCTTGTTTTTCCGCCATGAGTTCCGTTTGGTTTCTGCCATGGCTCAGCTATAGACCTCATCACAATCTTGGTTCAAATATGGACAAAAGAACTGAAATCCTGAGGTGAGGCAAGAGTGACAGTCCTTGACATAAAGGCTGTATTTGACCAAGTGTGGTATCAAGGAGCCCAAGCAAAACTGGAATCAATGGATATCAGGGGGCAAACTCTCCACTGATTGGGACTCATACCTGACACATAGGAAGATGGTTGTGGTTGTTGAAGGTCAGTCATCTCAGCTCCAGGACATCTCTGCAGGAGTTCCTCAGAGTAGTGTGCTTGGCCCAACCATCTTCAGTTGCTTCATCAGTGACCTTTCATCCATCATAGAGTCAGAAGTGGGGATGTTCGCCGATGAACAATGTTCGGCACCATTCACGACTCCTCAGATACTGTAGCAGTCAGTGTTCAAACGTAACAAGATCTGGACAATATCCAGGCTTGAGCTGACCAGTGACAAGAAACAATTGTGCCACACAAATGTCAGTCAATGAACATCACCAATAAAAAACAATTTAACCACTGCGCCTTAAATTCAATGGTGTTGCCATCACTGAATCCCCCATTATTAACATTCTGGAGGACACCATTGACCAGAAGCTCGACTGGACTCACCACATAAACACACTAGCTACAAGAGTCAGAGGATAGGAATACTGTGGTGAGTAACTCACCTCTGGATTCCCCAAAGCCTGTCCATCATCTACAAGACACAAGTCAGGAGTGTGGAGAAATACCCCTCACTTGCCTGGATGGGTGCAGCTCCAAAAACACTTAAGAAGCTTGACACCATGCAGGACAAAGCAGGCTGCTTGATTCGCACTACATTCACAAGCTATCACTCCCTCCACCACCAATGCTCAGGAGCAGCAGTGTGTACTATCTACAAGATGCACTGCAGAAATTCACTGAAGATCCTCAGACAGTACTTTCCAAACCCATGACCACATCCATCTAGAAGGACAAAAGCAGTGGATACATTGGAACGCCACCACATGCAAGTTCCCCTCCAAGCCACTTACAATCCTGATTTGGAAATATATCGCTATTCCTTCACTGCTGGGTCACAATCCTGTAATTTTCTCTCTAATGGCATTGTGGGTCAACCCACAGCAGATGGACTGCAGCGGTTCAAGAAGGCAGCTCACCACCACCTTCTCAAGGGCAACTAGGGATTAGCCAAAAATGCTGGCCAGCCAGTAACGCCCACATCTCACAAATGAATAAAGAAATGGAATGCACCGAGATAGAATATAAATGTAGGTGGATCTTGCTTCAGTTGTGCAGGACCTTAGTAGATTGTACATGAGTACTGGCGTATGGTTTGGTCTCCTCATTTGAGGAAGGATATTACTACATTGGAGGCAGTTCACAGAGTGTTGACCAGGTTAATTTCCTAAGATGAAGAGGTTGGGCTTGTACTTATTGGAATTTAGAAAAAAAAATGAGCAGCAATCTTGTAGAAATATGTAGGGCTCTGGCAGTGCAAGAATGTTTCACCTGGTGGAGGAACCTGGAGCTATGGCACATATTTTCAAAGCAAAAGGTCTCCAGCTTAAACTGGGATGAACTGGAATTTATTTTTTCTTTGGAAGTCTCTATCCCATACAGCAGTGGATACTGGTTTTTGAATATGTTTAATGTGTTATGGTCAAGGTTGGAGGAGTGCTCTGTCACTCTGGTCCCACTACTCCACAGGTCACAGCATAAAATAAAAATATTCTTTTCTATTTGCCAAGATGCTCCGTTAAATACCTTAGTGTGGAGCTGGAGGAACATAGCAGGCCAGGCAGCATCAGAAGAGCAGGATCTCGATGCTGTCTGGCCTGCTGTGTTCCTCCAGCTCAACACTGTTATCTCAGACTCCAGCATCAGCAGTTCTTACTATCTCCAGTTAAGTACATTTTCTGTTTATGGTTTCACCGAGCAAGATCTGTCAACCAGGTTTCTTAATAAACAGAATTATTGGTTTATTGCCAAAACAAAACTTATTCAAGAAAGGTGCAATGATTGGTGACTGCATAGAGATATTAACGTAGAATTAGAAATGCTTATCCATCTCAATATCTCCAAAACATGCGGTCTCTTCAGAAAAAGAAATAGATTTCTTTGCAGAGGTTGCCTTTTTGAAAAAAAAAGGCCCATATTTACCAATGGAGTGCTCTTGAAAGAGAAAGGATAAGAATAGGATGCTCATGGTCTGTTGAAATGATGTTCTGGCACTTGCGATCAAGTCACTAATCATGCATGGTTGTCTTTTGAAGACGCAACTTGCTCAGGAGGTAGAATCTTGAGTCTTGAATGTTTCATCGATCACTCTTTAAAAGGAACTAATAAATTTCACTCGAGGATTTTCTTTTCAGAAATGAAAGGGATCACCTGGGCAGCTTGTTCTTAGCAAACTTTGCCCTTGATTTTCTGGCTTTCCTTCAACCTGAATCGGCTAAACGTACATCTTTTCACACTAGTCCCTGTTCAGAACAGCCCAATGGTGTTATACAGCAAAACAGGCAGATATCACAATTTGTGTGATTTTTGGAAGCTTTATTTAAAAAGATTTCCAATGTCAACAGTGAACTGTCAATAACCTATTTAGAGGAACCTATGCCAAGTATTTTTACAAAGCTTGAAATAAATCCATTTTGCACAATCCTTCAAAACTTAAGTCCTCCAGGCATTATTAAATGATAAAGTGTCTTTGCAAATAAGACGAAGTTAACCAGATTTTTAAATTACGGGGGAGTTAAGAGCAGGCAGAAAAATGGAGTTACATCCATCAGATCAATCATGATTTTATTAAAAATAAAGCAGAGCCGGATCTTGGAACCACATAGCCTATTGCTGCTCCTATTTCTTATGTAAAGATTTATGCATGTAATTAAGATGATTTAGGAAAATAAGAAAAGTCTATATGATTATTACTTAATAATTAAATAAATCAAGGCAATCAAAAGGAAATTAAATAGTTATTTGAAAAAGAGCGGTGTGCAGACTTAATGCAGGAGAATGGCACCAATGAGCTGCTCATTTGAGGAACTGGAGCAGACACGATGTGCTGAATGGCCTTCTTTTGCATTGCAACAACTTTGTGATTCCCTAATTCGATGAGAAAAAGGCAAGAAAATACAGAAAATTCTGGCAAGAGAAAAAAACTCCACAAAAAATCTGAGATGTAAATAAAGAATACTATTACGCATGAAGGGAACAACAGACCACCCCCTTGCATTAGATCCCTGTCAGAACTGTTTCGTTGAATAGCCTACATTCAGAATGTCAGTATGATTCCTTCCCTGCCAGACTACGGCCAGAAAGCCAGGTGGTGAGGCCTGGAATTTGAGTCAATCTTTACACAATTGTATAAGCTTTGTTTATAGAGATGCATATTAGAGTCATTCGTCTTCTAATCTAGCTACTATGGTTTCAGCCCGTTCCTATTTATAGAAGCACAAGTGAATCCCCAGTGAATCCCTATTGCCTCCGTGAAATTTAACACCATTATTATACAATTAATAACGGCACTCTACTGTAAAAAAAAAACTCATAGCTTTAATGATGGAAATCACAGTTCAAGTAATCTCAGTCAAGAATTATAAATGTATGCCAAGGTATCAATGTAACATATTGCTTCTTGACAGCTTATTCAGAGTTAACCCAACACACTCTGTTTTAAAGCTTCTGTTTATGTGTAATATTCAGTTTTATTTCTTTCCTGTTAATGAAAGTTTGTAATATTCACCTGTTGCTTGAATAATATTTTGAGTTGTGTGCTTTGATGAAATAGAAATTGGTCACACTAACAACAGATTTTCTCAGAATTCTCATTCTTTATTAAGATTCATGTGCATTTCTTAACTGCACTGAGCACTTCTAATATTTGGAAATTAAAAGAGAGAAAAATGGCACAGCATATAAAATCAATTTCAGAACTGCACTTAGAATTCTAATAAATCATTTTTCCTCCTTATCAATCTTTATTTTGTTTGATATAATTTTGACATTCAAAAATATTTTGATGAGCTCATTGAGAAATTTTCTGTTCTAATGCTTGAATTAAATGTGTTGTTACATTTCATGTAGGCTGCAGCTAGCAGTATTATTTTTCTTTGCTGCCAATAGGAATTCGAAGATACTTCATTTTCTGAAGAAGAACTAGTTGATGAACCTGGGGTGCCTTTACAGTTGTTGAATTTAAATCACAGCAATGCTGCCAGTGAAGCTGAAAGGTTTGCAAGAGGTCAGTGGAATCCAAGCAGTGAACAGCAAGAAATGTTGGTGGATGAAGAGAATGAGCTGCATCAAGCGATGTATGAAAATGTTAATGAGCAGTATTTAAATAGTCGACTAGAATATTCTGAGCTGACAGACCCAACAAATGTAAAAACAGAGGATGATCAACTACATTTTTTGCAACAACACAATGCAAGAGAGGTAAGAATAATTTTAATGATACATAACATAATCCTGTGTTGTCATAACTATGAACTGATCTTGTAAATAAAAATGCTTTTTTAGTAAGTTATTTCATCTCAACCTATAAACATGCAGTGTGGTAATTAGGAGATGGACAACATGATCCTGGAAATTTGCTCCGTTTTAAGAAGAGCACGCTGCTTGCTTTTTTAATCAGAGGAGTAGAAAAGTTAACGTTTTGTGTCGGGACCCTTTGTTTCTGAAGAAGGGTCCCGTTCTGAAATGTCAACTTTCCTGCTCTGATGCTGCCTGGCCTGTTGTGTTCTTCCAGCTCTACACTCTGTTATCTTTGACTCGAACATCGGCAGTTCTTACTATCTCTTGCTATTTTAATCTATTTCTTTCCTATGTTGCTACTTCCTCTGTACCTTAGTTAGTTTTTTACCTTATTATTTCATTTTAAAAGTACTTTGCACTTGCATTAGAGCAGTATAGAATGGCAGCCTAAGGACATATGAAGATGCTGGATGAATCCAGACCATGACCAGCTACTACAACCATGGTGGACATATGATACAATGATAATGGATAAGCTGTTGATCAATATGACAATCAATTATCAGCCAAAAGACCTATTTGTATTATGAGAAAAGCCTCTTGCAATCACAAGTTCTCGGAATCAGAAGTTTAAAATCCTCTTTTCCCCTGGAGCATGCTGCAGTGAGCGCACGTATCCTGCTGAAGTAAATTTAAATGAACTAATAATGCCAAGAGATGATGTCAAACTTATTTTGTTTATGCAAAATCTTGAAAGTTGAGGAATAAAATAATTTTGTTTTCACAATTAATGTTCATCTCATGGGTGGGAATTTCTTCCATAGCCACCAATCATTTTCTTCTAATGCAGTACAAATGTTGGTTTTCCTTTGAATTGATATGTTTGTAAATTGTTCTTGTGGGTGCAAAAAAAAGTCTTTTTCAAAAACACTCAAGTTGTGCCCAACCGAATGACTACTTGAATATGATTTAGCAGTTTTTATAGTTAATGTTTAAACATGCTTCATTATTTCAAGGAAATAAGTAAAAGATGTGACAAAATCTCCTACATTGTCAGCAAAGACTAAAGTGGGCATCACAAATGTCATTGCCATCATATTCGTCATTTTTAAATTGCTCAAAGTTCTGTTGATGCTAGAAGTAAATTCAAGGTAATTTGCTGGTGAAATGTGTTGATGGTTTTTTTTTCCTTTTTCATGGTGATGGGAAGTTCAATGAAGGCTCCTTGTCTTCATCTACATATGCAGAAGGCAATGACCAAGGGGTGATGTCCAAATATTATGAAAGAACTGTCACCATCGTGAGAAATGGCCTTGACCTAGGTTTGTCCTGTTTTAAGTAACCTTTGTAATTATGTAAGATTGTTGCTACAATTTAGTTCAATCAATGAATGCAGCTATAATATAAAAATGCCTAAATGTTTTCAACAACAATGCTGTATTAATAACTTAAAGAACTGAGTAGCATTTCAGGCACAACAATTGGCTTCCAAACTCTTAATATATTCAACTTGTTATTTATAAAATAGGCACAATGCATACCAATTTAACATTATTATAAGCAAAACAATAAATCATGATAAATGAGTAGGCTAGAAAAGCACAAGCTTGATTTCATCTGACTCAGCTTTTTTTAATGTATAAATTTGAATTTTCCCCCATCAACTATTGTTTGTTACTTTTGTTCCTTAACTGATAGGTCATGACCTATTTTTCAGAATCACAGATTTGTTATGGTATAGAAAGATGCCACTCAGCCTGTTGTCCCTTCCCTGGCTCTCCAAATGAGCAATTCACCTGGCACCACTTTCCCTACCTTCTGCCCATAACCCCACACATTCTTCTTTTTCAGATAATAATCCAGTTGTCTCTTGAACGTCTCAGTTGAGCCAGCCTTCTTCATATTCTTGCGCAGTTTATTCCAGATCTTAACCACTGACCCCATGACTACATTGCTCCTCACTTCTCAATTGCTTCTTTTTCCAGGTACATTTAAATATATATCCTCCTGATCTGGATCATTCCACTCATGAGAAGAGTTCTTCCCAATTTACTTGGTCCAGACCCCTCATTGTAATACCCTCCATCAAGTCACTTCTCAACTTTCAGTTCTATAAGGTGAACAGCCTGAGCTGTTGTATTAGGTAATGGTATTGAAAAGATTGAATTACACTCCACCCAATCTGATGTCATAAATACTTCATTTGGAAAGGCAGAACAACTTACTTCTGTTACTTTCGAGGACTTATTATTTTCCATTAGTCTTAGTAAAGATGTCTTATCTTACTGTTGTAATTTGTATGTGATTAGTATCATGTAATTAACTTTGTCTTATTTAGTATGAGATTTTTCTCATTTGACTACCTTGTCGTTTTCCTCTACCACTTTAAACACACAGTAGGCCCAGTAGACCCAATTAGAAAAAAAAAGAATGGTGGCAGCAATCTAGCCAAACACATGTTGGCAGTGGTTGGCATTGAAAACTTGACTCCATTAATTAAATTCTTCATTCCTGAAATTATTCTTGTGAAACTGTTCTGCAGTCTGTCTGAAGTCTTCACATCTTTCCTTAAGTTTGGAGACCAGAACTGAGTGAAGCAGTCTGGCCTTATACACGTTTAACATAAACAACCTGATTTTGTACTCTGTGCCTCTATTAATAAAGCCTAGGACACTTTATTATCTGTCAATAACTTATGCACATATGCACCTAGGTCTTTCTGCTTCTGCATCCCCTTTAGAATTGCATCTGTTTATGTTGTCTCTCCATAATCTTCCGATTAAAATAATCAGTTCTCATTTCTCTGCAGTGAAGTTCATCTGCCATCTGCCCACCTATTACATCAACCTGTTGCAGTCCTTTTGCAGATCTATACTATCCTCCTCTCTTCACAATGATTTCAAATTTTGTATTGTCCACATATTTTGAAATTGTCTTCTGTAAAGCAAGCCCTGTGTATTGTAGCGAATAAGGGTCTGAACACAGACTCCAGGGAACTTCAACCCAAATTATCTTCCACTCCAAAAAGCATTAACCATGTTTTTGAAAGTAAACCAGTTTCCTTTTAGTTTTCCTATCTGCAGGATTCTTGATGTCCTATCGGGAACTAGTATTGATTGCAGAAATCTTGACATAATGGAGTTACCAATATTGGATATGCATAAGCTATTCTTTTGTGTACAGTGTTACTAGTGATCTCTGTTTTCCCATGTTTGGTAATTTACCTTGTTTGATATCTCATCATGTGGGACCCCTGAGAACCAAGGGAATAGTTCTGAAATGGTTAATGTAACAGATTGTATTTGCCTCCAAACAATCTGATGATGTGTCACAGTCTTGTCTAGGGATCAGTCTTGCATGAGGTCTTGATGGAGACAGACTTATCATCTCTGGCTTCTAATGATCTTTGCAATTAGACCTGTAACTAGGAGTTATTGCTATAATTGCAAAAGCATTACATTACTTTGTATAACACAAATGCTTCTTCTCATTGAGACTCTACAGTGGATTATCCTCTGCTACTGTTAATCCGATAGCCCCACCAGGAACTGCCTAACTTGCTTAAGTTTTCTTTAATAAGAGTAAAAAACAGATTTTAAGGAGTCTTTACTGCATTGGTAGTGTCCACACCTCTGGGCCAGAAGGTCCAGGTTCAAATCCCACCTCCAGCCATGGTATGTCTGAACAGATTGATCAAAACGGCTAAAAAGCAGAATTTGCAATACCACCGCCTGAACTAATATGTAAATTTGAATTTGTAAGTATTCTATGTAAGTTTAATTTTGCCTGTGCTTATGTTGTTTGATTTATTTTGAAACAGTAGAAAGGAGAACATACGGCATCACTCTACCCAAACCACAAGCTGTAATGGTTGGTACTGCAGCATCAACAGCAATAATAATAAGCTCTTTTGTTTCTTGTTTGGACCTCTGTATAAGATTAAGGATGTGCATGCATGAAAGTCACATTATCTCAGGACATCATGAGGACCTGTAGTTATGCCCCTCAGATACGTGAATATATAACTGAATCTTTGACAAAGCTGATGCACTCTCGAACACAAATTCCTCAGACCATTTGCTGAAGTAACAATCACTGTTTTATCTAACATAACTTTTGAAACTTTCAAAAAGGTCTCATCAACATTTCTGGGGAAGTAACCTCTTGTGGATCAAAATGGATTTAGCAGCAACTTTTCACATAACTTAGCCTGAACGGCTTTCAAGGCCAAATAGTGAAAAACCAAGAAATCTGACATAAGGTATATAACACGTGGTGTCAGTCTGTCTTGCTACTGTGACCACATTTCCACTTACTTGCCTACCACCCAACTTCCTGCCCTTCCCTCTGTCAGCTGACATTATAATTTATTGCAAATTCTATTTCTAAATTTCAAAGCTCTTGTCATAATCCTGCTTCTCACATAGCCTTCCCCTTGTCTATTAACTCTCTTTTTCACCCCTGTAGTTTCTTCCTGGCCCCTAAAGTTTCTATTCGTTTGACTATAACCTTTTTATGAAACTCCCTTCCTTTGAATCCTGAGTTTAAATATGCACCATGTTAATGCAACTTGTCATATTCACTGAATATTAGAAGATAATTAGCATGTCATTCACAGCTATGCAAGCTTTCACATAGTGACGTTTCCACAGCATTTGCTTGTTACTAAATTGTAAGCATGGGCAATCAAATATGCTGTGTTGCATCAGCTAGCCAGTCTTCCAAAACATGTGAAGAGAAAGAGCTTATATTTATAACTGCCTTTAGAAATTTTTTGTAATTGTCAAACTTTCTCACCTACAAATAGAATTAGTTTGGCAAAGAAGATAACTGAGTGTCATTTTAAATTCATAGCATATCGGCCTATCGATGATTTCACAGAACTGAGAGAAAGATTGAAAGCAAGTCCGGGGTGCAAAGGGGTTCATGTCTATCACCATCACATCTCATAAGTGTGCTGCTTTATTTCTCTACTTGAATGCTATCTCTTAGCATAATTATAAAGCAGATAAGTCATAACATCGTAGACTACTGAGTAATGACCATTTTAGTCAGTATATTCTCAGGTTAAGGAGGGTGCAAACTTCAGCTATGAAGTTGAAGAGGATGAAGAATGATTAGGAATACGTAGGAATGTAGAGGTTAAAATCAGATTGGTCACTATCATATTGAATGGTGGAACAGGCTCGAAGGGCCAAGTGGTTCACTCTCTTGTTCTGTTTTTGTATGTTGGTGTACAATTTGACTTGTGCGGACCCCAGTTGGGAAGTAAAGTATGTGGTCTCGGAGCAAGGAGTCCTGTTGCCTTGGAGCACTCATGGTGTTGTGGCCTAAGAAAACTCTAAGGGAATGTTTGGAGCATTTGGGTTGGGGGAGCAGTAAAATATGGTATGTCTGTTTGAGTAAAGGATGCTGAGCAGAGAGAGCAGATGCATTGCCTCTGGAAGTTATTATGTATAATTTTACTGCTAATCTGCTATCCGGGGAGGAGACACAGGAGACGTCTGGGACAGAATGGATGTGTATGTCTGTCTGAAATATGATGTATGTGAAACAACAGTTATATAAGATGAAAGATGGTCCCTGGTAGCTAGTTTGGAAAAGGGACAGGTGATCAAGAACAGCAGTTTTACAGGGTGAGCTGAAATTGGCTGGGAAGAGAGAAAAAGACTAAGAATGCTCAGACAGATTTGAATTATTTCATGAGGTGTGAGCACTGCTGGCAAGGACAGCATTTGTTGTTCATTCCTAATTGCTCTTGAGAAGGTGTTGATGAGTTGCCTTCTTGAGCCACTGCTGTCCATCTGGTAGAGCACAATGCTGTCAGGAAGAGAGGTGCTGGCAATGTGACAAAAGATCAGCTGCAAGAATCCATATTCAGTACAAAGTAGAGGGCAAATGTAAATCTCCTAAGAGAGAAGGAAGTTATTTTGTGTATGTGTTTGAATGGCACAGTGGTTGAATCAATGCATTTTGTGCTTTTTAAGCTGCAGAATGAGAAATGATTGTGTGCCAATAGCTCTTCAGATATTTTATAAAAAATGTTCTGTGTGTGAATAGAAAATTTAGAGAGTGTGAAATAAATTTCACATTGAATTAAAAAGATTATTACCATACCTGGAGTTTTAACTAGTTAACTTGCCTTGTGCTCTATAAATACATTAGAGTTCCTAAAACCCAATTGTCACTAGCTACTGACTAATGTCCTAACAAGAAGACATTATCAGGTTTTGAATTGTGAAATATTATTCTATTTGAAATGCCCTATTACACTCCTTTTTTCAGGGAAAGTATCCTCATTTTTATTATTCAGAATATGACATTCCCTCTCAATTCTTCAAAGATGACTGTATGTCTGAATTATTACTGAACCTCTCCGTATATGCACTCAATACCCATGACATTTCAAAATCTAAAGGTCAGGATAAGAGTGATAATTGTTAATTTGATGCAATTTTGTTTTTGAGTAGCTTCTCATTCATTCTCCAGAATTCTCCTCAATATTATTTGATGTCTTTGTATTGAAGCCACTAGCCGTTGAAAGGTTAAGTATCTACCAATAGTAATTATTGTTATAAGTGAATGTTTCAAAAATAGAGAATGGGGGACACAGGGTGCTTTCAGGGGACTCGGGGCTAAGTGTTACTTTTCTTTCATGCTTTAATGGCATTTCATTCACTTAACTGCTTAAAAATAAAGTGTATAGAAAGTTGTAACCTACTGTAATGAATTCAATAATGCACAATGATCACTGTAGTAAAAACATAATTACTCAATGTTTAATAGATCCTTTAAGAACTTTATAATACTTCAAAAGATCCTTTTGTTCCATCATAGGGTGCTAACATTTAGTGCTGATATGATTAAACGGTTAATTATAATTTTTAATTTTGAAAAAGAAACGTTCTCAATAGGGAATTTCATTGGCCAATGGATGTGAAAGAAAAACTAAAATGCAATCGAATACCTGTGATTTTAAAAAGTCAACTGCTTATCAGTTAGTGCTGTTATTTTTTTTTACCAACAACCAAGTTCAGCAAGTGGAGAAATTGTCTTATGTCGTCTTAGAATAATTTTCCATTCTTAATTATTTCAGTTCTGCCAGTCACTCACGTGCTTGAAATGGGAAACTGACACTGTTAAAATAACACTGATAAGAAAATCTAAGCTTCTGCCTCTTAAAATTGCATCAATTTTCAACAAAATAAAAGCTGTTTTCAAAACTTGTTCAAACAATTTTTTGCCTCTTTTTTTCCGTTAGCAATCTCCTCTTTGGAAAAGAACAATTGTTAGTCTCATGCTAAATGAATACTGAAAGGTTGTGTATGCCTTTCAATGGTTGAGGCAGAAGATGCTGCTAGACCTGCTGAGCTTTTCCAGCAACTGCTGTTTTTGTTTGTGTTTGAGAAGATAAGTTTTGGTTCGTTTCCTCTCCAGCTATTGAGTCTCTCAATTGATGGCTTTGGATCTCATTTGTGGGTGTTTGGTAAGATGCACTTAACTGTCATGTCTCTGCAGGCACTAATCCGTTTGGAAAAATAAATTTCAGGCTACTTGTTTAATCAGCAGTGGTTTGAGGAGAAGGGCACAAATTGTGACTAGCAGCATCCACCAGAGTGTTGTAGACCTGGGAGGATCCTTCCTGCACCTTCTGGGTAGAATGTACCACATTGGTTGGAGCATAAAATCCCAGTCCCGGTATCTGTAAAACTGTATTTAACATCGTTTCTTCTCCTACTACTGTTGAAACTTGGAAACTGTATTTTCCTTTCCAGGATTATTTAAGTTCTGGCCATCACAACTTGTTTGAAATGGGAAATTAATAAAATAATATTCATTAAAAAATCTAAGCTAAGCTCCTGTCGCTTTGTTTGTTTTTATTTGCTCGTGCAGAATTATCTTTTTACTGCCATGTGGAAGTCCTTCTATTCAACCGCTTATACATTATCTTGTACATCTGACATAATTCGAAAATTGGTAGTTTGGAGCCACAGGGCTTCTGCTTTTTTTTTCCAGTGTGTATTTGCACTTATAACATAATTAGTATAGAATATGGTTATCTGCCATTGCATTACTCAGTTAATTTGCAATTAAGTATCCTTCTGTTGAATTGTATTACCTAGGATTGACTGTGAAAAGTGATCCCAGAGGACCTGGGGCAGTTATCCAGCACATTGATGGAGAAGGAGCTGCTGGAAAAGATGGAGAGCTTCAGGAAGGAGATTATATTGTTGCAGTGAACAAGGAATCCATAAGTGGCCTAAATTCTGCTCAGATGCATTTTGTCTTTGCCAATTCAGCCTTAACTGAAGAAATCACGTGAGTATTTCTTGTACTTTAGTTGTAGTTGTTTCTCAAAACCTTTAATTTACTGTTTTCAATATAGTACTATATCTTCAGTTAGTCACCCACAAGGTAATGTCACTGGACTTTATACCAACGCAGAGGCTCAGTCTGCGCTGAAGATTGTACCTGGGCAGTTCATGGAATTTAGTTTCAATTTTTAAAAGTTCTTCAATATAAAGCTTGCGTCAGTAAAGCAATCATCAATTTTTGTTTTAAAAAAAATCTGGTTCACTTATGTCCTTTAGGGGAGAGCCTCAGCAATCCTTTTCCAGACCAGACCAGTCCAGCCCACATGTGATTCCAAAAGCCTCATTGATGTCACTGACTTTTAACTGCCCGATATGCCTGAGAGTACCACTCAGTTCAAGGGCAATTTGAGACAGGCAGCAAATGCTGTCCTTGCTAGTGACACCCACATCCGATTAAAGAGGTAAATTACTGATACAAACTTGGATAATTAGGCTAACTTTGAGAGTTTTTTGATTGTAATTGAAGACATTTTATTTTTGTAAATAATCAAATTATGAAGAAATACTTCTAAGACAATTCATATACCTTCTGTTTTGTGACACAATCCAAAGTGCACAGCACGCTGCTTTAATTTATGGGATTAAAAAGTATTGATTAAAATATTGCAACTAGATTTCAGCATATGCACTTTTATTTGTCAGCAAAGCCATTATCCTTGAATTAAGTTTGAGTCATTATTGATGTTTATGAAAGTTTGTGGACTGTTGAGACATTCACTTTTTAAGGAAATTGTATTACTAGAGTTAGAAGATAGCTTATAAGTAATGATGAAATCTTTCCCCATATTGTGAATTAATCTTGATTTTTTTCCTCTCCCTGATAAATGAAAATTCACCTGTACGCTTACAGTTCTGGTCATGGTGGTTAATACCAGAATCCTCAAGATAAAAGTAAATGATTATTTCATGAGAAACATTAACTAGAATTATGAAGAATCTAATAGTTGAGTGAAGCTGCTACTCAAAGCCATTAAAAATAATTTGAGATCTGACCAATGCTTCAGACAACAACTTTTTTTTTTTGGCCAGTGCCATTTACATTGAAATTGTCCCAGATTATCTTCTTGTAAAGCAATCATTTACAAGTGGATGTTAAGCCAAAGTTAGATGTTACCTTTGCATTCTGGAACAGTGAGCAATTTTATCACGAGAGAAAGGCCTGTACTTTACATGGTCCATTCAGATTTGAGGGTGAATGGGTAAACTGACTGACTGTGCATCATGGAAATAAGATCAGCGTGGAAGCAGACCCCTCTGACAAGCATCCCACCGAGACCTATCCCTGCATTTCCCATGGCTAGCCTGCACATCTCTGGTCCCTATGGGGAAATTTAGCATGGCCAATCTATCTAATCTGCGCATGTATGAAGTGTGGAAGGAAACCGGAGCACCAGTAGGAAACCCACACAGATATGGGGAAAATGTGCAAACTCCGCACAGACAGTCACCTGAGGCTGGAATTGAACCCAGGTCCTTTGCATTGTGAGGCAGCAGTGCGAACCACTGAGCCACCATACTGTCCAAATTCTACTATGGTAGGATTTGAACCCAGGTCCCCAGAACATGACCTGGATGAGTAATCTACTGCTAGTACCACTGGGCCATCATTTCTCCCTTCATATCCTTGAAATTTCTCTCCATTGGTTTTTCGGAAACAGAGGTAAGGGGTGTATTAGAGGATTCAGTCAGGGTGAGTGTGTGTGCTGGTTTTAATCAGGTTTACGGGCAGCCTTTAATTGAGCAGATCAGTGTACTGATATAATGGTGTACTTCGGGACAAAAGCTAACTAGTTGGGATTGTGAAAAGCAGTTCCAGATAATAACATTTAGTCAAGATACAAAAATTGTTGCATCTGGCCACTTTCCAAATGAGGTCTAGTCACTTCTTGACATAAGCCATAAGATAGCCAAACTGAAAGAATATTTTATCACTTTATCTTATCACTGTCACTTCACCCATTCACATAAAATGTTTTTGGTTACGAACAGGTGAAACAATACTTGCATTGGTGATGGGGTCATCCAGTAAACCTAAATAATTATGTAACTTAATGCAAATCCTTCAGTTTTTTGATCATTCCCTCTGTAAACTACTTTGTCCCATTTCCCAGCCTTCTCTTAAGGCTTTTTCTAAACCCATCTCTTTGACAAAATTGGCTCATAGCTCCTGCACTGATTCAGCATCACTTTTTTTGTCAGATTATCACACAGGTAAATACCCTGGATTAAAAATGCATACTGTTATAGATATTGATAAGCATGGTAATCTTTGTCTTTCTCCCTGGCCTTGGATAACATTTATTGGTCTTTAACACCCTCATTTCACAGTGCCTGTACGCGTTAAAAAAATTGTTGAGTTTGATAAATGTTAGTAGTCTTTACATGAGAAAAGTAAGTGTCCAGCCAGTCTAGTGATCAAACGTACATCAGCTTCTTGATCTGTAAGTATCATCTCAAAATTCACTGGGTTGTGTATTGGTGAAGAGAACTCCATAGATACCACTGTCTTATGCTCTCATATCTCAGTAATGTATAGACATTTTATCGATTGTTAAAAAGGACAACTTTCTCTCTTTTGGTGGATGGCAAATTTAGAATTACTTATGTGCCTGCAAAAGATATGGATCGTTACAAAAGAAGCTCTGCATTGAAACCAGCTAGAACCCCTAATGCTACAATATTGGCAACAGACTCCAGGCTGAAACCTACTGTCAGGTATTTAAATTAATTGTATTCTTGGTATTGAAGGATAGAAAATTTTTAATAATGCTTTTGGGTTGAAATTTTATTTCAAGATGCCTTGATTGGAATTCAGTGCTCAGTGCCTTGACCATTATTTTTCCCTTAATCAGTATCACAAAAAAGGCAGATTAACTGGTTATTATCACATTGTTTATGGTTCTCTGGCAACATCAGGGGAGTAGGAAAGTCTACCTTCCGGGTCTGAAGAAGGGTCCCAATCCGAATCTGTGACTTTCCTACTCCTCTGATGCTGCCTGACCTGCTATGTTCCTCTAACTCCACACTGTGTTGACCCTGACTCCAGCATCTGCAGTTCTTGCTATCTCTATTTATGGCAGTCTGATGCGCACATACTGTGCTGACTGCTAACTTTCCTACATTACATCAGTAACTACATGTTATTTCAAAAAGTGCTTCTAAAGTGCTTAAGAGACATCTGATGGTCATGAGAAGCACTGAATATATTTTTTCTTTTAAGTATATTCTTGGATCTGAAAAACAAGTAATTATTAATATATTGTAGATGAACATTTCATTTCAAAATACCGACAATTCAAGTAGAAATTACTTGTAGAGATTTTTTGAAACTTTATTTTAAAATGTGAAATATTTTGTTTCATTTTTTTAAGTTTTACTGATAATGCTTGTGAAGTTGTGTCATATATCTCAACTTAGTATTTAGAGGAAGACAGGTTTATGACTTAAATGCAAATATTTGTACATGGGGTTTAGGCATTAATAATGAATTGTTGTTTCTTAAGATCGGGTCCCTGGTAGTTATTCCCCCTTTCTGTGTACATCGTCATTTGCACTTTGCATGGTTGCAGTTCAGCTAGTACTATTAAGGAAGTATGATGATTTATATTTTTATGGAGTAGGCATTAGCAATGTACTGCGTAACTTTGTTAATGTTTTCTGAATAAGGTATAATATTGATTTTTACTGCAATTGTTCAATTTTTCAAAGCATATGCAGTGAAGTAATGTTTTGAAACATTTCGTGTATTATCACAATTGTTTGACATTTGAACAGTTATATTTGCACAAATTATAGAAACTGCACATTACCTATGGAGAAGTATTAAACATAGATCTTTACTGGGAATCATTTCTAATTTGCATATCAAAGTACATATGCAAAAAATGTTTTGTGACCAGCTTTGAATTAACACTGTAATGGAATAAATTGCAGCAGCTTAAGTGGCTATTATGCGTACTACTGATATATTGCCTTGAATTCTTGATAGCTATTATGCAAAAGCTTTTAACAATGGTGTATATTGATTAACAGTTGAAAGATCAGTATTTTATTTACAGCCTGTACAGCATATTACATTGCATTGTTGCATACATGTTTATCTTAATTATTATTTTGTTTATAATTTATTCTTTTCAAATCATTTGAGGTAATTTTCAAATTCACTAGCCACAGAAAAAAAAAATTATTGAGGTGGAATTCCCTAACACATTTTCAATATATGAGTGAATGATCTAATTAAGCTTTACTGTTGTTTGTCAACGTAGTTACAGTTATTTACAAAGTCACATTATCAAGCAATTAATCTGGATCAGAATTGTAACATTTATATTTTTTATTGGTGCATAATTTTCTTTTGTGTAATTGAGAAATATAATGGTAAACTGTTCATTCAAGTCTTCAGAAGTGAAGCAAACTTACCTTAAGAAAAATTGAAAGCTATGGTTTAAGTGTAGTGAACGTTGATGCATTCATGGAAATTCTCTGCAAATATTGACATAATGCCTTGCACCTCCCGAGTTAGCTTTCAAAAGGCAAAAGAACAAAAGAGGACTCTTTAGCTCCTCAATGTCCCTGCCATTCAGTTAGGTCATGGATGATCTATATTTTCAACTTTTTTTTTTACTGAGTTTTGCGCATGTGCTCTTAACAATCAAAATGTATATCAACGTCAAGTGCTTCTAAAGACTTCAGGCCTACAATTATGAATTGGTTGTATTGCTGGGCAATTCTTGATCATATAATCTTTCGAGAGTAACCCAAGAGCACTTGCCCTCTGAAGTATAATAGAGTTATGAACAATAACAGACAATACTGAAAATATACTGCAGAATTGGCAGCAACATAAAAGAGAGGAAACAGTGAGTTCATGTTCTAGCCGATTTTGGTGAACATAACCCCATAATCATAAAATTCACTTTAAATAGACTGACTAAACTCCATTGAATTTTTGTCAGTTTGTTTTTTTTTTGTTTCACAATCCACATGTACTTATTTCAGGCTTTCATTTGGAGCATGGGTTGCACCAGCAATGTTTGACAATGTCACACATTTTACACTGTTACAGTTGCCATATCTACCAAGCTGCTCCGCCCTTGAGGTTCAACTTGTGAGCAGTCAAATCACCTGCTATGAGCAGTTCTTTTTATTCCTATTTTATTCATAGAAATATGGAATTCATTGCCAAATTGAGTTCCTTTACAAAGATTCTGGCAAATATTTAGTGATTGATTAATCAAAACATTTGAAGCGTATTGTCAAAGAGGAGAGTCAGAAGCCGGAATGTTCTACGCATTGATAGGAACGACATAGTTAGGGAAAGGGCTAAGGTTTTGCAAAGTGAATATAGGAGGTTAGGTAGAAAGCTAAAAAAAAACCCTCAAAAGTAGTAACCCCTGGTTTAGTCCCATTGGAACTCCAACTTCTGATGAGGGAAGGAATAGAAGGATATGGCAGATCAATCGATGGCTGAAGAGAGGGTGCCATGTGCAGGATTCAGATTCTTGGATCATTGGGATCTCTTCTGGTGTAGAAAAGATGTGTTCAACAGTGATGGGTTTCACCTGAACTGGAAAGAGACCAATATCCTGGCTGGGAGATTTAATAGTTCTATTTCAGGAACCTATAAACCATGAGAGAGGAGGGATGAAAACAGTGAGAATAGAAAGACAAATGAGGATGGTTCTGAGTCAGAGAAAAGCAAGTTAATTAGAAAACAAAGACAAGAACAAGTCAGAGAACACGGTAACTCTGAAGAATTAACCTACATTTATTTTGATGTAAGGGATCTTACAAGTCAGGCTGATGAACTCAGAAACTTGGCTGATGGAAGGACAGGACTGGCAACTCAATGCTCTGGGTTTTAGATGCTATAGGAAGGACAGAGAGGGAGGCAAGAGAGGAGGGGGAAGCAGTGTTTTTGGTTAAGGAAAACATTACTACTCTAATTAGAGAGAATTTTTCTGAGAGATCGTCCAGAAAAAAAAATGTATGGGTTGAAATTAGAAATACATCGGTTCTGCTGTCACGCATCTTCCAGCAATGCGAATTGGCTATAATGTGACTGATGAATAGGGGAGCGCTATTTCTAAAACGCAAACTTGTATTGACTATAACACAATTCCATCAGTGCATGGAGGAGTATGCTTTGACATCACATGATTGTTTCATGGACTTTGTTCTGAGCATGCACAATATTAGTGCAGTAAGAGTCTCCGTACCGGCATCATGTGATCATTTTGCAGACTTTGTTGTGAAGCGCTTTCTGTGAGAGGTATAGTACTCTGTGGTTTTCGTTTTTTTTTGCAAATCCCATCAAAATGCAAGGACAAAGTGACAAGAATGTTAGCAAGAAGTGCCCTGGTGATAAAATTGTGGGTGGTGAATGTAAAGGAAAGGCTATAGCACTGGAAGAGAAGCGAGACATTATAAAACATTTTGAGCTTAATGAGAGAACATGTGATATTGCTCATGCAACAGGAATGAAGGAGTCTACCTTATGTACTATTAGAGACAATGCAGAAAACATTAACGCAAGCTGTATTGCAGGAACAAGTCTGAATGCTAGCAAATCTGTGACGTCACGGACAAAGAAACTTGAGGTGATGGAACGGCTTCTAAGTGTGTGGATAGAGGAGCAAACAAAGAAGCGATCTGAGGGCTACCCTTCTCACCATAAAAAGAAAGCCTTATCAATTTATGAAGATCTAACCAATAAAACTGAAAATCCTGCGAATGTGCCTGCCTTTAGTGCTAGTAACAGCTGGTTTGCTGGTTTTAGGAACCGCTATGATTTTCCTAATGTAAAGTCATGTGGCAAAGCTGCCAGCACAGACAAGGAGCATGCAATGGCATTGCCTCCCATGCTTAAAAAAATTATTTGACGAAGAAGGCTACAACTTAGATCAAATTTTCAATTTGGATGAGACAGGTTTATACTGGAAATGAATGCCATCAAGAACCTACATTTCTATGAATGAAGCACACGCTCCAGACGTTAAGGGGCAAAGGATCATATGACTGTGCTGCTGGGTGCCAATGCCAGTGGAGACTTCAAGCTTAAGCCTGTGGGTGGTGTACCACTCTCCTAACCCGCGAGCCTTGAAAGGTTACCTTAGGTCTAGTCTAGGTGCCTACTATAGATCAAGCAAAAGAGGTTGGATGATGGGGCAATTTTGCTTCTGATCTTATTATTGATGTTTTGGAAGATGATTTTAGCAAGTCTTGCTGGGAAAAAAAAAAATTGGATTTCCAGATTCTCCTCATTTTGGATAATGAATCAAGTCATCCTCCCACCATTGGTGAGCTTTCTGAAAACATCAAAGTGCTATTTCTCCCAAACACAGTCTCTCTCCTTCAGCCCATGAACCAGAGTATAATAGCAGCTTTTAAAATTCATTATTCATGGCACACATTTAAGAGGCTGATTGCAGCCAGTGAAGGGGATAAGGACAGTGTTCTTCGATTTTGGAAGAGCTTTAACATCAACAATGCAATTGACATTATCGTGGAGGCCTGGGGTGATGTCAGTAAGGACTGCTTGCATGCAATTTGGCAGAAGCTTCTCTCAGATTTTTTTCCAAGATTTATAAAGCTTTGATCCATCAGAGAGCTCCCAAGAACCAAAGAACCTTGTGTTGATCTTGCAAAGCAAGCTGGATTTGGAGAAGGGTAGAATGAGGATGTTGAAGAGCTGCTTCAGTCCCACTGTGAAGACATCTCTACTGTCAGAAAGGGATGATCACCTTGATGGGATTGTACTATGGACCCCCTAACAGTCAGAGGGAAATTGAGAAGCAAATATGTAGAGACATCTTAGATGTATGTAGGAATAATAGGATTATAATAGGAAGGGATTTTAATTTTCCAAACACTGACTGGAACTGCTTCAGCGTTGAAGGTTTGGATGGTGAGGAATTTGTTCAATGTGTTCAAGAAAGTTATTTAATCAATATGTAAAACTTGACCTTCTCTTGGGAACTAAGACAGAGTGAGTGACTGACGTGTTAGTCGGGGAACACTTTGGGACTAGTGATCATAATTCTGTTAGTTTTAAAATAGTTATGGAAAAGAATAAGCCTTCCATAAGTTAAAGTTCTTAATTTAAGGAAGGCAAATTTTAATGGTATGAGACAAGAATTTTCAAAAGTTGATTGGAGTAGACTGTTTGCTGGTAAAGGGACAACTGACAAGTGAGAGGCTTTAAAAAGTGTGATAATGAGAGTTCAGAGGCATTATGTTCTTGTTAGAATGAAAGGTAAGGCTGCTAAGATTAGAGAGCAATGGATGAAAAAAGATATTGAGGTTCTACTCAATAAGAAAGAATCATACATTAGATATAGACAACTGGGATCAAATGAATCTCCTAAAGACTATAAAGAATGTAGGAGTATTCTTAAGAAATAAACCAGGAAGGCAAAGAGGGGATATGAGATGGCCTTTGGCAGATAAGGAAAGGATAATCCAAAGAGCTTCTACAAGTACTATAACAGCAAAAGAGCAACTAAAGAGAGAGTAGAAACTGAAAGAACTGCGGATGCTGGAAAAGCTCAACAGGTCTGGCAGCATCTATGAAGAGAAAATCAGAGTTAACGTTTCAGGTCTAGTGATCCTCCCTCTGAGCAAGGGTCACCTGATGTGAAGTGTTAGCTCTGATTTCTCTTCTCGTTTTTTTTGAGAGAGTAGGATTCCTTAAAGATAACAGGGTCATCTTTGTGTGGAACATAAGGAGATGGGAGAGATATTAAATGAATATTTGTGTCAGTTTTTACTGTGGAGGAAGAAATGGAGGCTAGAGAACTTAGGGAAATAAATATTGATGTTTTCAAAACAGTTTACGTTACAGAAGAGGAAGTGCTACAGGTGGATAAATCTTGAAAACATAAAGGTGGATAAATCTCCGGGGCTTGATCAAGTATATCCCAGGACATTGTGGGGAATTAGGGAGGAAATTGCAGGGCCCCTGACAGAAATATTTGTATCATCTATAACCACAGGTGAGGTGCTGGAGAACTGGAGGGTGGCTAATTTGTGCCTTTGTTTGAGAAAGGTTGTAAGGAGAAGCGTGGGAACTATAGAGCTGAGAGTCTGACATCGGTGGTGGGCAAGTTGTTGGAAGTGACTCTGAAAGATGCATTTGGAGAGGCAAGGACTGATTAGGGATAGTCAACATGGTTCTGTGCAAGGGAAATTATGTCTGTCAAACTTCATTGAGCTTTTTGAGGAAGTAACCAAAAAGAGTGATGACAGCAGAGCAGTAGACTTTGTTTACTTGGACTTTAGAAACACCTTTGATAAAGTTCTGCATGGTGGACTAATTAGTAAAGTTAGATCACATAGGATTCAGGATAAGCTTGCCAACTGGATACAAAATTGGCTTGATGGTAGGAGAGAGGGGGTGATGGTGGAGGGTTGTTTTTCTGACTGGGGGCCTGTGACTAACTGTGTTCTACAGGGATCAGAACTGGGTCCACTTTTGTTTGTCATTTCTATAAATGAGTTGGATGAGAGTATAGGAGGAATGGTTAGTAAGTTTGCAAACGACACTAAAATTGGTGATATAGTGGACAGTGAAGAAGGTTATCTAAGATTACAAAGAGATCTTGATCAGTTGAGTCAATGGGCTGAAGAATGACAGATGGAGCTTAATTTGGATAAGTGCGAGGTATTGCATTTTGGTAAAACAAATATGGGGTTTCAGGTACATAATTCTTTGGTAGACAGGACAGTTAAGGAGTTTAGCATGCTTACCTTCATTATTCAGATATTTTGAGTATAGGAGTTGGGACATCATGTTGAGGTTGTACAAGATGTTGGTGAGGCCTCTTCTGGAATAGTGTGTGCAGTTCTGGTTGCCCTGTTATAGGAAGGATATTTTTAAACTGGAGAGGGTTCAAAAAAGATGTACCAGGATGTTGCCGGGAATGGAAGGTTTGAGTTATAAAAGTAGGCTGGATAGGCTGGGACTTGTTTTCACTGGAGTTAGGTGTTTGAGGGGGTGACTTTATTGAGTTTTATAAAATCATGAGGGGCATAGATAAGCTGAATAGCAAAGGTCTTTTCCTTAAGCTTGGGGAGTTCGAAAACAGGGGACATATTTTTAAAGTGAGATGAGACAGATTTAAAAAGAATATGTGGGGCAACTTTTTTTGTTACACAGAGTGGTTAGTGTGTGGAATGAACTGCCAGAGGAAATGGTGGGTGCAGGTGCAGTTAAAATTTTTAAAAGACATTTAGATAAATACATAAATAGGAAATATTTGGAGGGATATGGATCAAATGCAGGCAGGTGGGACTAGTTTGATTTGGGAACATAGTCCACATGGACTACTTGGACCGAAGGGTCTGTTTCCATGCTGTATGACTGAGTGTTTGATTTGATGAGTAACATTTCATGTATTAAATATTTTGGTTTTTATTTTAAAGTTAAATATCTATTAATGTGGCTTGTTACCGTTCTTTGAAGTTCTTTGTTGTAATTAAAGATGAATGTTGAAGTATCTTCCAACATGACTTTACTCTTTTTATTGGATCAGTGAATTACCTGAACGAGAAGAAGGTGAAGGGGAAGAAACCCCAGTAATGAGCCACTGGGAGGCACCACGACGGTAAGAGAACATCAGGATGTTTGACTTCTGTTCCCAATATAGTTCATCAGCTTATTTTTCATGTCAGTGTTTTTTACTGCTATACAACCACACCACCTCGATAGTAGATGATATGACAGAGTTGCACAAAATAGATAGAATGTAAGGTGTACGTTTGTTTTTTTGAACGTGACTTCAATTTTGAGCGATGCTCTGAAAACCATTAACTGACTAAATTTGAAAAGGTTACAATCTCAGGTGAAATTAAAACCCAATTTATTTAAGGGTAGTTAGTCTTAGAATTGTGGACAGTTATTCAAAGTTTATATTTTTAATATTAAATTACTGAGGAAATAATGGAACTTTAATAAAGAAAATACAGTTGGTGTTGGGTATATGTATTTTTTTTTACAAGGCATATCACAAATGTTGCATAAGTGTGTTGAGTACAAAGAGAATATGCCGCAAGAATGGGCAGTCAGTCATGGAACAGAAGGCAGTGTTCATTACGTGTGTCACTGGAAACTTGCAAATAATGGTATTTCCTTAATATCAATCATTAGGATCTTCGTAATTATTTTACTTATTTTTCAGTGGCTGAGTAGGCTGGTGTGAATTTTATACATTTAATATTTATTTTAAGTGACTTCTCAGCTGCAAAAAAAATTTAAAAATTGTAAACATATCTCTTTTTTTTCTCTCTTACGCTGTCTTGTTTCTTTCATGTCAGTTGCAATTTGCAGAGACAAAATAAAAAAAAAAGAAAGCCTGGTGTTGGCTATTGGTTTTGTGGTAACACTAAACTTTCTGGATGCCAGATTATTTATGTACAAATGACTGAATAAAATATTAAAAGAGACAGATGAATGATTTATCAACAGGTTGTAAAAATAGTTCGTAGAAATAAATAAATAAAAATAAATGGGAACGTTAAAATAAGATTTAATCCCAAATTAGCCTTTATATTTGTGAATGAAATTAATACTGTATGAAGAAGAAGCAGAAATGTGTTAATATCACAATCAAACAAAATATGCTCTAGAATCTTCAAAAAATACTTTGTATATTTTTTGGTTGGAATGGTGAGTGGCCAGTCAATATTATGTTTTGAGTGTTTATTTTTTCAGGATTGAAATATAATGTTGTTAACTTCATATAAAACAAAGCTTTAATTATTTATAATATTATTGATATGCTTAAAATCCAGGTACCTATCAAAGATTTTTTTTTATTTCATTGCATCTACTTCCATCTCATTGCATATTATTTGTTCTAATCAGAACTTTGCCAGTCTTCTGTAAGAAGTAGTCATACAATACTTTTGAATTCTCCTTTGAGATTAAGGGAAAGCTATCTTAGTCACTTCAAGACCTTCTCAAATATATGCACTATAGTCAAATACTGTCAGATTTTTGTTTAATTTGAGGAGAGAATTTTGTAATCTTGCAGGCTATGTAGGGCAAAGTTCACTTTAATTCATTTAAGTTTAGACCGAGGACAATTTTATAAAGCGTTGGAAGTTTTAAGTGATAATATCAATATTGCCCCAGTCTCCATGAACTGCAAAAGAGCAATGGTAGTTCCCATACAGCTTTTGAATGAGGGATCTCCAGTACATCTCTTGTATCTTCGTGAAATGTTTGATGTGTCATTGGTTAGATCAGTCTATTTCATTACATTAGCCAAGAATTGGTCCATTGTTAACACAAACATAATGTTTAGTATTTGAAAAATACTATAGCTGTTTGTCTTTGTAGCTTGCAGTTTCTAGAATCACATTCTGTGACATTAAGTGACTAACTTTCCTAAGAATGTCACTTTGCTTTTCCATAATTTTATTGGTGTAATTTTTTATTTAAGAACTGTGAAACCATTGATGCACAGAATACTGGATCCAGGAAGATTTTTCATTTTTAGAGAAGGAAATCACAGATTATGGGTGGAATTTTATAAGGGTCTGTGAAGTGTGCGCTTTGGTAAGGTACAAAAGAATCCGGCAAGAGGTGTGGCAAATGAGATCATCTGAGTCTGTCTTTTATGCTTTTCACTAGTGGTGTGGCGAGATTCTTGCCAGGCAGCAAGTTACTAATTGTTGGGAATTAATGTTTGTCAAATGCCTTGTTGATGGCCAATTCTCTTTATTAATATTCAAGTACCAATCTTACCAAATTTAGCCAACAAAATAGATATCAGGAAAGCTTGAGATAGAAACCAGAGCAGGTATCTGCCAGATTCATTTTGCCCTCTGCTCTGAATGAGCTCCATGTTGGAAGCCAGGCTTCAACTTTTCAGGGCATGGACAGTGGTCACACACACCCCATGTTTAATCCAGGTGGCAACCTCTGAGCAAGCTGGCATGGCCTGGTGTTGGGGCCCCCACTACTTGTCATAGGGCTGGAGGAAATCCCGCATTGACACCACACCACCCAGGACCTCCAGGATCCTGCCTGCAAAGTGGGGCACCAATTTCCCCCCACCATCTGCCATTGTTTGGGGCAAATATCAGGAACTATGCAGGGCAGCTCCAAATTAGAGTGCTTTCCTGCGTGCACATGGGCTTCTGATGAAGGTTTGGGTGTAAGCAGTGCTGGTGAAATCCGGATATCCTGTGAATGACAAGTTGTTCTTGGACAGTGTGTGATGAAATGAGCAAAAATCAGATACAAGAGGTGTCACAGGAATGGTAGATAGTTTATGAGGCAGGTTTGATAAGGTACAACGAGAAAACTTACTGGGCCTCGGGGAGAGGAACACTTTACACAACTCGAAAAGACTCCTGCTCAGCCAATAAAGCATAGGATTCAGCCCTGTGGGTTTTGAATCTGAAATAAAGCTACTCAAATAGAGAGAGAAAGGTTCTTGGCTCTAAATAAGTAACTTATCTTAACTGTAAATACAAATGTACCTTGCAGAAAATTAATGGTTTTGAAATGGGAATATGAATTATAAAGTGGGCAAAAGTTGTCATTTGCCTCTACTTTTTAAATTACAAGAATATTTAACTTCATTCCAGGGTTGAACTTTGGCGAGAACCAGGAGAGTCACTTGGAATCAGTATTGTTGGTGGCAATAAAGTAATAAAACGACTAAAAAACGGGGAGGAATTGAGAGGAATTTTTATTAAACATGTTTTGGATGACAGTCCAGCTGGAAGATCGAAAGCTCTGAAGACTGGGGACAAAATAATTGAGGTAAGTAATTTTATGTATGAGTAAGTAATGTTAATGTTAGTAAAATGGAAAAAATGAGTACAGTAATAACTACTCGAATAAATTGTTAATTGGAAGGTGTTTGTTGGTACACCAAACATTTTAATTTCCTGGATATGCCTCAGAACACAAAGAGAAGCCCAAAGGAATATGTCAAATTACTGTTGTGAAAATATTCCGATCTGAGTTGGAAATCCTATTTCTGATCAAAATCAGAAAAAAAATTTACCTTCTTACCTTTCTATGATTTTTCAGACACAATTCTATGACTCTATAAATTCTATTGCAGGCCCTATCCTAACACTTGCAGTTCAACAAATCATTTGGGCAATATGAGAGTGAATTTTTGCCAATTGTGTGCCCCCTTTTTAGAGCAATAACTCCCTTATTCCAGTAAGTAACAACAGTTTACAGGTCCCATTACTTCTTAACATGGTAGGAAGCTTAACATGGTAAGTGAGCCTGGGGGGGGAGGGTAAGTGGGTGAAGGGTAACAAGTGGCTGCTAAATGAATGAGGGTCAGGGTGTGTAAGAAGAGTCTGCAGTCAGGTATTGTGTGGTCAGTCAGGTTTTGTGGAGGCAGTCAGGGTGTTGGGTGAAGGGGTAGGGGTGTTCTAAAGTGGGGTGTCAGTGTGGCTGATTGTGGATTACTTTCTTAGTTATCCAAGAGATCCTTCCAGAGGCTTCCCGACACTGGGTAATTCTCACTGGAAGTTTAAATCTTCTGGGCAATTACCTCATAGTCAGTGTGTCAGGACATTTGAGGTGTGCCAGTGTATCTGTCCAGGCATATCTGGTCATTGGCTGTGTGGAGACTGGAACCTCTGGGCCTCGAAGATTGTATTTTGCTACCTAAGCAGTATTTTAAAATTTATCTTTGTGATGACAAGGATTAATAAGATTTGCATTATTTCATACATTATTAATCTATTTATTATAGAAATCTTTGGTCTGCAGATGATTAAATATTTAAAGGTACATTGTTGTATTTATAGTGTTTTATTGCTAAAACAGATGCAGGGGAATTGCCCATTGGGATCTTCAATTTCTGACGTAGTTCTCGGATTTGGTTGCATCAGGGATTCCACAAGGTCCACCTAACTTAATATCTTGACCAGTGACGTTTGACATGTTATTAAACATTTTGAATAGATAAATGAATGGTACTGAGTGCAAACAGTATAATTTTCAGTAATTTACAGATTTTGCCTGTTGCACTTGCATCTCAACATTGAACTGGTCCTTAAAACAATAAGACCATAAGATGCGGGAACAGAAATTAGGCCATTTGGCGCTTCAAGTCTGCTCCGCCCTTCAATCATGGCTGATAGCTTTCACAACCCCATTCGCCTGTCTTCTCCCCATAACCTTTGATCCCCTTAACAATCAAGAACCTATTTATCTCCATCTTAAATATACTTAACGACCTGGCCTCCACAGCCTTCTGAGGCAATGAATTCCATAGATTCACCACTCTCTGACTGACGATGTTTCTTCTCATCTCCATTCTAAAAGGCCTTCCCTTTTACTCTAAGGCTGTGCCCTCGGGTCCTAGTCTCTCCTGCTAATAGAAACACCTTCCCAACATCCACTCTATCCAGGTTTTTCAGTATTCTGTAAGTTTCAACTAGATCCTGCTTCATCCTTCTAAACTCCATTGAGTATAGACCCAGAATCCTCAAAGGTTCCTCGTATTGTTAAGCCTTTCATTCCTAGGATCATTCTTGTGAACCTCCTCTGGACCCACTGCAGGACCAATACATCCTTCCTGAGATATGGGGCCCATTATTGCTGATAATATTCTAAATGTGGTCTGATCAGAGCCTTGTAAAGCCTCAGAAGTACATTCAGTACATTCCTGCTTTTATATGCTAGTCTTCTTGAAATAAATGCCAGCATTGTATTTGCGTTCCTAACTACAGACTCAACCTGCAAGTTAACCTTAAGAAATCCTGGACTAGGACTACCAAGTCCCTTTGCACTTTAGATTTTTGGGTTTTCTCCCCATTTAGAAAATAGTCTATGCCTCTATTCTTCCTACCAAAGTGTGTGACCTCACACTTTTGCACAATGTTTTCTATCTGCCATTTCTTTGTCCACTGTCCTTTCCAGTTTAAATCCTTCTGCAGCCTCCCTGCTTCCTCAATACTACTTGTCCCTCCACCTATCTTTGTATCATCTGCAAACTTAGCCAGGATGCCCACAGTTCCTTAATCTAGATCATTAATGTATAAAGTAAAAAGTTGTGGTCCCAGCACTGACCCTTGTGGAACACCACTTGTTGCCGGCTGCCATCCTGAGAAAGACACTTTTATCCCCACTCTCTGCTTTCTGCCAGACAGCCAATCTTCTATCCATGCTCGCACCTTGCCTCTAACACCATGGGCCCTTATCTTACTCAGCAGCCTTGTCAAAGCCTTCTGTAAGTTCAAGTAGATAACATCCATTGGCTCACCTTTGTCTGACTTGCTTATTATGTCCTCAAAGAATTCTAACAGATTTGCCAGGCCTGACCGCCCCTTGATGAAACCGTGCTGTCTTTACCCTATTTTACCATGTACTTCCAAGTATTCAGAAATCTCATCCTTCACAATGGACGCCAAAAATCTTACCAACGACCGAGGTCCGGCTAATCCGCCTGTAATATCCCATATTTTGCCTTAGTCCCTTTTTGAACAAGAGTATTTTACTTCTAATATGCTATACTCTATCGGGGAGTTGCTAGAGTGCACCTTACATTTGCTTTTTAAAATTGACTGCCAATTCTTGTGCTATACTTCCTGTGCCTTAGTCCCCAAAATGTAACAAGTTCTCTCCAATTAAAAGTGTGAGCTGGGTTTCTCATGTTTCCACTGGGAGTCCTCTATGTGGAGGTGATATAACATAGGCTGGATGACAAACCTTCTGAGCTCCCTGCCACAATACACATGGTAGGCAAATGTAGAAATTGGCAGTGCACATACTAAATTTAGGATTACTCATTTAAGACAGAGATGTGAATTTTTTTTTCTCTGAGGATTGACTATCTTTGGAACTGTGTTCCCTAAAATATGGTGGAGGTGGAATTTATGATTTTTTTTTAAGGCAAAGGCAGATAGATTCTTTGTAAGGAGGTGAAAGATTATTGACAGTAGGCAAGAAGGTGGAGTTGAATGAAATGAGATCAGCTATGATTTTATTGAATGGCAGAATGGGCTCTTGATTTGTATCTTTGAATACGCAAACAACTAATTGAAGGTAAATTAAGTTTATTAGTGAACCTGTTGACCTGAATGATACACCGACTGTCCATGCCAAAATGAGTGGAAAGACTTTTAATTTATAGCCAACATGAAGGAAGAGGGCACTTCACTTTGGGGGAGCCCTGCCTGCATTTGGGGCACTGCTCTCTTCCTTCCACACTGCCTGCCCGACAAAACCCTTCTTGCCTGGACTCCAGGATCCCTCTCCACCCTAAAATATTGGGACTTACCTTTGTAGAACAGTTGTGATCCTCTTTGAGCTCTTATCTGCAGTCCCAACAGCTCTCGCTACCACGTTCTGGCACTGCCATGACTGAAGGAAATATCAGTCAGCCAGACTGGCCAGCAGCTCTTGGGGGTGAAGATTCCTCCCATTGGGAGGTAGAGGCTCAACTGTCACCTAATGTAGCCCACCTGCAGAATGTTCTGGCTTGTGGGGGCAGCTTTATACAGTGAGCAGGTCATCCCTTGCTGTAAAATCCTGCCATAAACCTTTCTTATTGGATGCTTAGCTATTCTCAAGATTCTTGTCATTTAGCAAACTACATTGATGCCTTCCTGGGAACCAAATACTTTAAATGACTTTAGAAATGGCTATCATTCACTAAAGCGGCAGCAGACATATCATCTGTGTCTTTATTCTGCCAGACAAAAATGTATATTGTTTGGAGCTTGCATAAGCAGTTAGCAGTAACCATTTCAACAGTATGTACTGTATCCAACAAGAGAGAGAATCTTTTGCATAATCCATTCGAAACAAAAATGTTTGATTCTATCAGAGTACGGTTAATTGTTAAACAACATGTGCTCTGTTTTGCTATGGCAAGTATTTCAAAATAATGACAATGTAATTAATTCACGTTGAACATAAAAGTATGTGGCATATTTTGCCATATAATAGGTTCACTAGATTGATTCTAGAGATGAAAGGCCAGTATTATGAGGAAAGATTGAGCTGTTTCGGCTTGAATTTAAAGAATGACAGCAGATATAATTGAGGGAAACAAGATGCTGAAGGGGATTGACAAAGTAGACTTCAAACAGATATTTCCCTTTGCAGGACAATCTGGAATGAGTGTTCAGAATTTTAGGTTAAGAGTGGCCAATTTAAAACAGAGAAGAGGATAAATTACTTGTCTCAAAGAGTTGTGAATCTGTGGAATTCAACTATCCCAGAATGCAATGGATGCTGGGGTGCTGAATAAATTTAAGGAGATGATAGACAGATTTTTAATTAGTAACAGGTTAAAAGGTTAAGGGGATTGGGCAGGAAAGTGGAATTGAGACTGAGATGCGATCAGCCATGGCCATATTCAATGATAGAGTAGATTAAGCGGCTGATTTGCCTTCTAGTTCTTCTATTCTTATAAACATGTGATTGTATTATGTCTCATGTTGCTTCCAAAAGCCATATATTTACCAGAGTTCAGGTTAAGCAGACTTATTACAAGAAGATACTTATTTTGCACTTGGTTGATAAGACTCCTCATTTATATAGACTATATAAGATTTGCTTCATTGAGAAATTTAAACAAAAGTCAACTTAATCTTAATGTATATTACAGGTTTCTGGTATGGACCTGCAGAATGCCACCCATGACGAAGCAGTGAATGCCATAAAACATGTGGGAAATCCAGTTGTTTTTGTTGTTCAAAGCTTATTGCCTACTCCAAGGGTGAGTAGGAAGTGGAAAATGTTGAACATTAACAGTATTATTTTTGAAGACAACTGCAACCGTATTAATTCATGCAACGAAGTTTAACAATTATTTTAGTACTACAGGATGTGTTGGAAAGTCTAACTAATAACTTTGGTAAATGATGCAGCAAAAGTTAATTATTCAGTCAGTAATTGTTATTTCAGTGGAAAGCTTGTTTTTCTTTTTTTTTACCTAAAATAAGCCATTCAATCTAATAGTGACAAAGGACACCGTTAGACCTTTCATACGGAAGTCTTCACAAAAAGGTTTTAATTAACTAGAAAGGCACATTTGTTAAATTGATCTGACTTGGCCTTTTCATTGATTTTAACACTGACAGAAGAGTATTTCCTTTCACTGTTACTGTGGCTGTTCAGCTTGTTTCTCCCTAAAGCATCTAAAACTGTGTTTGTATTCAGAAAGGTAGAAGTGAAATCTGCCTAAATATTTCAAATCCCCCATGTTAAAATTTCCATTATTTTCATTTGCTCTAGGTCAGTCAAAAAAATATAGAAAAAATTGAACACACTTTAAGTTATGCATAGGGTCCAGGGATGTCTCAAAATGACAGCACAAAACTAGTTTGTAAGAGATTGTTTGGCAACAACAATTAACATGAGTTTAATGCAGCACTTTTTCTTTTAACTTGTAATGCATTTGTTGCACCTTTTAATGATTTAATTGTTGAGATGAGGTCAGATTCTGACACCGTGGCAATGTTAATTTGATGAATCCTGTAATTATGCTAGATTTTTAATTTGGGATATCTGATTTACTGAAGATGGTGCTTTTAGAGAAGAATGTGATGCAGCCGTATAAGATAAATCAGCGAAGTACAGTTTAATGCATATTATTTTAAAAGTACAGTAACATTGATTTTAAAAAAAAGGGCTGATTGACCCTGCTCTGTTTTCCAAACTTTGTCTCTTTTCAGTTTCTGCCCAACTTATCCCCACACCTCCTGTCATGTATAGTGCTTTCATTTAGCCTGTTCTTGTCTTAGCTAAATATTACTGTTCTATTTAATTACCACTTGTTTATGAATCAAGTGTTTTACAGGTTATTGGCCAGGATTTTGTGATAGTAATGATGATGCTGTTATTGTTTGCCATCATCACTCTTTTGAAACTGACAGAAAATTCTAGTGATTCTCCATGTATAGAACAATCCCACTGCTTCCCAACTGTTAAAAATGGGTGGCATGTTGGCTCAGTGGTTAGCACTGCTGCCTCACAGCACCAGGGACCCGGGTTCAATCCCATCTTCGGGCGACTGTCTGTGTGGAGTTTGCACATTGTCCCCATGCCTGCGTGGGTTTCCTCTGGGTGCGCCAGTTCCTCCCACAGTCCAAAGATAAGCAGACGAGATGGATTGGCCATGTTAAATTGCCTGTAGTTTCAGGGATGTGTAGATTAGGGGGATGGGTCTGGTTGAGATGCACTGAGGGTCACTGTGGTCTTGTGGGGCTGAAGGGCCTGTTTCCACACTGTAAGGATTCTATGAATATGAAAATCTACAAGTGGTTGCTGGTGATTTCTGCACTGTGCCAATGAATGCAATGTTGAGGCCTTCACAGAATGCAATAAATTAGAAATCATTAAATGGACTAACAACCCATGGTCTTACACTTTTACCTTTAGTGTAAAAACCCATGGTGAAATTACAGCATGTTGAGTAAGGTGTAATAAGGGTTTTGATGTCATTATACTACTGCTGACCCATCCTCACCAGTGCTGAAAACCTAATTTTATATTTATGAAAGATGAAAAGTTCTTCTTTTAACTTACGTTTTTCCCTTTTTTAACATTTGCTTGTCATTTTAGCTTCAACCTGTCCAATATATGGAACCAATTATTTACTTTACCATCTGTAAAACTAAAAGTAAAGATTTTCCATTGTTTATAATTTCATGATTTACCATTGATGCTTCAGTGTAATTTTTTTTGGCTCACCCTGCTTGATGATATCATTATAGCTAGATGCCTGAAAATCTCCCAGTTCTGGAAAAGGGGAGATCTACTTAATGGAAATTACTAGAAATTTTTGTTGAGTTACTGTCCAGCACTGTTGGTCTCTCACTGGCCTCTGCCTCTCGATCTGTTTACGAGTGGGAACAGATTTTCCCCTGGCTTTGTCCTCATAATTTTAAAAATTTATTTCAAAACTTCTCATAGCCTTCTCTTCTCAAAGGCAAACAGCCTCAGTTTTTGCAATCTTTTCTCATAGTTGCAGTGTCTCATCTTTGGAACCATTCTCTTAAACCTCTTCTGCATTCTGTCTGATGTATTTACATCCTTCCTATTGTGTGGTGCCTGCAATTATACGCAATAATCTAGGTGAGATCTAATCAGTGTCTTTTGTAAATTCATCGTGACCTCCTTTTTCTCTTGTACACTCTGCCTCTGTTAATGTAGCCTAGAATGCTGAATGCTTTTTAAACATCTTGTTCTGCCACCTTTAATAACTTTTATGTACACGTATACCCAGGTCTCACTACTCCTGCACACTTTTTAAAATAGTAGCCCTTACTTTATACTGTCTCGACGTGTTCGTTGTACTGAAATGCATTACCGTAAACTTCATCTGCTACTTATTTAGCCATTCCACCAATGTGTCAATGTACTTTTGATATTCTTCAATGTTCTGCTTACAGTTTATGTGCTCTCAAATTTTCTTCTCAAGGCCCACAAACTTTCCCTGTCCCCTGTACACAAAATCTAGACAATTGTATCAGGAAAAGCAAGTGTTCCAGTGCTGATCCCGGAGAACTTCATTACAAACCTTTTTCTAGCCCAGAAAATACCCAATAACCATTCCTTTCTGCATCTTATCTTGCATCCAGTTTTGCATCCACGCTGCTACTGTCTCTTTCATTCCATGACCTATAACTTGCCTCACAACTCTGTCGTGTCGCACTGTATCAAGCACCTTTTGGAAGTCCATGTATCACATCAATGACCTTCCTCACATCCAGCATCTCTGTTCCCTCTTTAAAAACTCCAGCATGTTTGTGAGACACAATTTTACCTTGCAAATTCATGCTGACTTCTCTGAACCAGTCCACAGTTTTCCATATGACTATGAATTCTATCTGGATTAATTGTTTCTAGAAGTTTCCCTAGTACTGAAGTTAAACTGACAAGGCTGCTGGCTGATTTTTACAACCTTTTTTGAACAAAAGTGTAATACTTAAAATTCTGCATTCTTCTGCTATCCCACCTGAAGACTGAAAATAATTGCCAGTACCTCTGCAATTTTTCACTCCCATTTGCTTCCATATCCCTGGATGCCTTGTATCCTAACTTTAAGTACTTAGTGCTTAACCAATACTCCTACTTTTCAATCTTAAGTCCTTCTGGTGATTGAATTTTTTTCTCTGTCGCCATGGGAGTATCTGCCTCATAGGTAAGGATAGGCGCAAAGTATTCATTCAACATTCATGCACATCCTTTAGAATAGCGCCCCACATTTTGCACTGTCTCTCCATGTTCTACATACCTAAGTGTATTACCTCACACTTCCCTACATTAAACATCTCTGCATCAAGCTTCATCTGCCTCTCAGCAGCTCATTCTCTATGTGGTCCCTAATCAACTTTACTCCTCTTCTTATCACTCTTTTACGATTGATATGCTTATCAGAGACTTTGGGATTTCATTTATGTTCGCTGCCAGTCTTTTTCGTAATCTCTCTTTGCTTTGTCTGTTTGCTTCTTCACCTCCCTTCTGAACCTTTTGTATTCAGTTTGGATTTCAATCATATTTACAAACTGATACCCATCATTGTTTCTGAACTTAATTTTTGTCTCTCTTGTCATCCTGGGAGCTCTGGATTTCTTTTTCCTACTTTGCTTTTAATGGAATATACCTTGACCGTGCCCAAAACCAACTTTTCTTTGAAGGTAGACCATTATCAGCTATTGTGTTTTTAATTGCACCTCTCTTTTATTCCATTCTATCCAGCACAGCTCTGTTCTTGCTCATTGAAATCAGCTGTCCACCAGTCAATTATTTTGACTCTGGGCATCAGTCAGCTCAGTTGGCTAGATGGTTGATTTGCAATGCAGAGTGATGGCAACAGCATGGGTTCAACTCCCACCCAACTGAGAACACCACGAAGGTCCTGATTTCTCAATCTCTCGCCTAAGGTGTGGTAACCCTCAGGTTAAACCATTATCTGTCATCTCTGTTATGAGAGGGAAGCCCTGTATTTCTTTGGGACTTTGGCAACTTTACATTTGGACAAGTACATGAATAAGAATGATTTGGAGGGATATAGGCCAAGTGTAGGCAGCTGGGACTAATTTAGTTTGGGAGCATGGTTGATGTGGACTAGTTAGACCGAAGGGTCTGTTTCCATGCTCTATGACTCTATTATTACTTCCACTTTTCTTACTCCGGATTAACCAAATAGATTTTCTGTCATCATTCTAAACCTTATGATGTAATGATCACTGTCCCGTAAATGTTCCTGACTAATCTACATGTCCCACCTCATTCCCAGGCCTAGCTTTGCTTCCTTTCTCATTGAACAGGTCACACACTGCAGTGGGAAATTCTCCTGAACACAGTCTGGGAACACTTGTCCCTCATGGCCCCTTACACTACTACCATTCTATTCAATCTATGGGTGATTATGTCCCCTGTTGAAACTACTCCACGATGTCTATATCTCTATAATTTCCACTAGCTGGTGATTTATACATAATACTTGTGAAAGTAAATTGCACTCTTCTTACTCTTTGGCTTTAGCCAAATCAATTCTCTCCTTAACTTTCTGAGACATCCTTTTCGTTCAGTACTGCATTGTCTCCTTGACAGAATGCCACTCGTCTTCCTTGTTGTCTTTTCTCAACACTTTGTTACTAGGAGCATTTAACGTTTGGGGCTGTCCTTCCTGAAGTCAGGTCTCCATTATTGCCACAACATCATAAGCCCACATGGTAATCTATGCCTGTAATTCCACAATTTTGTGAA